CCCCCCCCCCTGCACCCCTTCCATTTTTTACCTTTTTGCCGTCATTTCTTTGCATGCGAAGCCGCAACAGGTACCCTTGTCATGGACAAAATGCACTGAACAGAGGCTGGAACCCACTTTTGCCGCAGGAGAAGACCTGGCAAAAGCCGCAGAAGCCTTTTTTTTTTTTTCTTTAAATAAAAGCTGCAAAAGTTTACTTTCTACACTCTTTGCCTTCTTCTCAAGTTTCAGGACCTTTTGGACTGCATGTTGTTCCCAAATAGGTAAAATTTTAGGCTGTGACATCTGGTTAGATTGGTTGGTGTGACCTAACCCACATTTTTGAAAATGATGGCTGCTCAACAATCTCTTTCTGTTGCAGGCCACGGGAATGACGGCTGCTTTATGGCATCAGAGAAGAATGAACCTTGCTGTGGTGGAGCTAGATTTTCAGCGCAAAGAGCTCGAAAAGAAGTTGCTGGAGGAGCAAGCAGTGAAAAGGGAATCACTGACTGCTGGGGAGATGAACAAACTGAAGAATGATCTCAAGGATGAGATGGAGAGCTTTAAGAGAGTTATTTTTGACGATGTCAGGAAGGCTATTCACAACAAGCATTCTCTTCACGCGACGAGAGAAAGCTCCACAGGTCCTTTGGTACAAGATGAAACCAAGAAGGTACCTTGTTGCATATGCTAAGCACTTCTCCTTATGTTCTTTGAATATCCCGTTTCTTTCTTTTTCTTTTTTGGGACAACGCTCCAGTCTATTTGTGGGGACCCGCACGTGCTGGGAACCGGGCCCAGCGTCCCATTAGAAACATATTGGAGAACATATACGGAAGAACTCGAGATACTGGGGCCATTACCCGGCTTCGGCTGAGAATAGGATCATGAGCAATTACTAGCCTATTAGACAAAGGACCTCGTGAGATAGGCTAAAATTCAGAAAAAAGTCTGAAGAAGTTTGAAAAACTATGAGGCCGGAGGGTCAAAACTGAACCCACCTTCTATCCAAACCTCCCCCCCTCAACAGATGAAACGTCGGTCCAGGCTTTCAGTCCTCGTACCAGAACTCACTTGATCACATACCCCCTTCTGCTAGGGTAACAGGGCACCACAGCCTTCCCCAGTACCGCCCAACCTAGTTCTGACGGACAGGAAGTGCCTTCCTCCCTCGACATCTCGCTTAGCCGCAAGCCCCTGACACGAGGTAGCAGGGTTAATACCCCGGCACCGGGTATTTCGGAAGGTCTGGTTATGCCTTCCACCCTTGGAATAACTCCACAGGCCTCAAGCTCCCCCTAGTTCACAGAGCAAAAACTCCAGCACGGGCCTGTGTCGTCCCAGTGTCGTCCTAACCCACTTACCTTAACAAACAACCCCTCCCCTGTTGAGAGCCCCCTTACTACCTCCCATCCTCCAGTTCTAGCTCCCCCCCTTTCCCTCACGAACTCCAACCATAGGCTAAGAAACAGTTTTTAAAACGTTTTTTTTTTGGTGAAAAGCATCGGAGCCAATACCCGGCTAGCCCCAACAGCCCTGATAAGTGGCATTGTATATATTTTCTTCCTTTTTTGGCCTGTGGCATGCGCATTGACTGCCATATTTCACATCGCCCGCTCCTTTTTTTCCCCCTCTCTCTTCTATCGTTCACGAACCCAGCGCTTCGTTGCCACCATGGGTCGGTTCCACCACCCTCATTCGCCACCAATATGTAAATTTTGAAAATTTTGAAAAAGTATGGCACATGCACAGCATGCACAAGCGTAAGCAGTCTAAGCACACGTAATGTGGATAGAGGTGCGGGGCAGTGCGGGACCTCCCATCCTGTGGTGTAAAGACGAATCTGCAGGAGCACTAACGGATCTAAAAAGGACTACAAGCATTTACAGGAACAAGTAAACGCGCCACGGCGTGAACGTACGTAATTGAAGAAGTGAGTTCTCGATCAGAATGAGAATGAACACAGAAATGTATGGAGTTTTGACACTGCGACTCTCTCTCTCTCTCTCAAACACACACACACACACACA